AAATCCTGAACAAGAACTCGGAGACCTGCCATCCGGATGCCTTCGAGCCAGTTCTGATCGTGGCAACCGAGCTATTGAAACAAGGTCGTTACGAGGACGCGCTGAAGCCCTGCCGGATGTTGTTCATGACCCTGCAAAGCCCCACAATCAGCCAGAAATTGCAAGATCAGACATTTGTTCAGAGTCTCTATGATCGTTACGTGTACTGCCTACGCATGGCTCACAGTGACTTCGCCGTCATTCACGACGTGACGGTACAATATCGCAAATCGTGCATTAGCCTCTTCGGTGTGAACGCGTCAATCACCATTCAGGCATCAAAAGCGCTTGCGAACATCTGCCAACAGTCCAAGAAATATGAAACAGAAGCGATTCAGCTCTACGAAGAGCTCCTGCAAATTAAAGGCAGTGAAATTGAAATCGACCATCAGGACATCCGCGCCATTCTGGGGGCTATATATGAGCAACAGAATGTTTCCTTGGCCGCTTCGAAAGTGGAGAACATGTCGACAAAGGAGTTACATAAGGTGGAGTCTATTCGCATGCAACGATTGACATCCATTCGTTCCAGCTATGGATGGGCACACGAAGAAGCCCTGTCCCAGATGGAGGAGATCGTCTCATTATATACCAAACAAAACAAGATACAGGCTGCTATCTCAATGCTCGAGGAAGCAACAGTCCAAGTATTGTCCACTGAGACTTCCTCCATCAGGCTGACTGCGGCCGCTAAGAGCATTGTATCTGGCTACATCGCAGCCGGTCAACTTCAAAAGGCGAGGGAACTTTCAGACGAAATTTACCTCCAGATCATGACCAATGACGGGAGAAGTTCGAGTGCCCTTCGCTTGCACCAGAGTTCAAACCGCCGGCTGGGCCTTATTTTCCTGGCTCAACTCGAGCACATCATTCAGGAATCCGCAAACGCCTCGACCACATTGAATGAGGTCCACGCTGCACTAACCAAGGAGTATCTTTATTTCGAGCAGTTTCGCACAGCCCTAAGCTCAAAGTCTAGCAAACTCCAGCACACGATAGCCACGGTGGCCCGCCTGCACGCGTTCCTACTCAGCGGCGGTCGTCGCTCAGCTGCCACTCAGGTGGTGGATCAGTACTCCAGCTCCTTCCTGGCATCTGAGGGTTCCAGTCTGAATATGGACTCAAACCAGGTCAAGGTATTCATCAAGACGCTCCTTGAATACTTTGGCACCCATGCCTCGCGCCTATTCATTCGTTCGGTGGCAATCGCTAGCTACAACCGCGTGGCCCAGCAGCTCGACTCCGGAGATTACCAGTCTGCTTGCCACCTCGCGTTGGCAGCGATGAAATACATTTCTGCCCACCACGGCTACTCGGACCAGACGACAAGCAAGCTGATGTTCAAGCTTGGCCTAGCTATCGCTGGCCGAGAAATTGACGCGCCCCCCGCGGCCTCTGTCCAAAAGCAGATGCTAGGCGTGTCGGCTACCATTCTACGGGATACGCTAGGCTATTTCAAAGAACATAACATCGAGCTTGTACACCTAGATTTAGCGAATGTCAATAGCTTGATCAAGGTTCTAGATGAGCAACATGACTACCACACCTTGGCCTGGGTTCTCACCTCCCTCTGGAACAGCCGGGATGCCTATACCTTGTCACAGCCACAACATGCTTATACACTTGCTCTCGGGCGCATGCTAGTCATAACACGCTACCTCATCAATGACTACGCAGCTTCTGTCGGGCTCGCAGAAGACCTTGTATACAACTGCGCTCGTGTCCACGGGCCTCGCCACCCGAGTACTATCGAGATGACCGTGCTATTGTCGCAGATGTACACCAGCATGGCTCAAGGCTATCAAGAACAGAAGGGACGGCACGAGCTAGCCTATCGGTACTATCGGAAAGCGGCGGCGTTGCATGAAAATGCCCTACGCATGTTCATCGACCCGTCCTCAGCGTCCGTGGGCGATGTGGACGTCGGGGTCATATCCGGCATGTCATCACCCTCATCCTCCGCCAGTCCAGGAGAAAAAGAAGAAGGAAAACATGTCCGACAGCACTTGCACATGCTCAAACTTGCCGTCGAGCGCCTTGGAGAATGGCCCAAGGATTACTCTGAATATGAGCGGCTTAGCCAAGATCTGTTTAGAACATTTGCGAATGGTCTGGAAGGGGTTGATGGCGTTGACAAATGGAATTTGCAGTCATTCGGGTCCGGAAAAGCTGAGGCAAGTGATGACCTCGTTTCCTTTCATCGCGAGCACCTGGCGATTGCCATTTGAGCGCGAATTGGTTTACATTTGAATGGATGGGTCTATTTTATCTTTTCGTCTTGATTCTGTTCATCTATTATGGTGAGCCTTTTTCGCTTCAGGACTTGGGCAGCGACTTAGCATAAATTCATAGGTAATAATTGAACCACTATTCACAAAGTTTAGGCAACCCCAGAAGCTTTGTACAGACAATACTGGAAGTTAGCCCCATGAAGTATACATTGTGCATCAGACTTCTGTTTGCAAGAAGTAAGTCTGGGGCCGAGAATGATCATGTTCTCTCTAATGTATACTGTCTTTTCTTTCCTACGGACCGACGAGGTCTGGTGCATGTCTTTATAATTCCGCTCTCGACTAGTGCAGCAGTGCTCCTATACGAGACAGCGACGACCGGGGTAGCGGCTACTACTGCTAAACTGCTAGTCACAGTGCTAGAGACATAGTTGCTAGAATCTAGAGCATAGGTATTAGATTGTAATGAGGGGCTCTAAACATTCGCGGTTAAAATTCTACGATCTTTAATGATAGAAGATAAAAGAAAAGGCGTACCTAAGTGACTAGCTGCTGGAGAGTGATACCGACGTAATCTTCTAGCATCTTATAAGTATTAGACGACTTAACATTATTAGCCTCATAGTGTTAAGTATAATAGCAGTACTACGATAAGTAGATATGAGAATACCCGCCAAAGACTAGAGCGAAGATGCAGTAGTAATACAGCATCACTACAGAACGCCAATAGCACATGATAGATCGATAGTAACACACTAGACTACCGATGGCATAAGACGGATCTAGAGTGGTACACTTGGATTGCTTGTGGCACAAGATGGATTACCGGTGTAGCATACTCGCCTCAGAAGGCTCGTACTCAAATAGAAGCACGAGGCAGAACTTAGGAGTTCTCCAGCGATTATATTATAACCTATCCAGGCCTATACTACCAGACATTATCATTGCAGTACCTTCCACTACCACTCTTATTCCTATCATATCTAGAACAGCACTCCTATTCTAACAATTAGGTATAATATATTAAGACTAACTCTTATAGAATTATATACCATAGGCGGGAGTATGCTATAAGCGGGTATGCTATAAGTAAGAGCTGACTATATAAGGTTCCGCCGTAATAGTAGATTTCACTCAGTTCCCTAAGACAGGTGCCATCTAATCTAACCATAAAGGTTCCCAGGACCACCGTCGTTTACTTATCTATTATACGTGTGACCTAATATAAGTAGAGGAATAAGGACAAAAATCATCTTTTAGTGGAAACTAAACTTTCCCGGTCAGCTACAGGGAATCTACGTTTCTCCAGTCATGAATTCACGTTCTATAGCATGGGCGTATAGGTACCGGAACAACTTTTTGCTTAGAAAATTTTTTTTGAAAAGGATGGTTACAGCCTCTAAAGGCGGGCAGTTCAATAGGCAGAGTATTACACAACATGTATGGTAATTCATGCATGGCGGTTCGTACCCCGCATAGTTTAGCGGACCAAGTAATTCTAATCACAACATTCAATCTCACAATAGGTAGTGGAAGATTAGTCCAGACTATGTCAATGTCCCACCTTGCGCCAAGGCTAGGATGTATAGTAGAAGTAAAAGATTGATTGCATCCGGATTTACCAGTTATCCTAAGAAGACGCCACATAAGATCCTATGCCCATGGCTAGTTGGAGTGGGGTAAATTAGCAATATGACCGTCCTTCATTTATGTTGCACTGCTGCATACAGCAAGAGTGGGAGCTAGCCATTCCTGGCGTCATGACCTGTTTCCAATTGGCCCCACCGCTGATATGAAGAGTCTGTTACTGACACAGTTAAATGCGCTCTCAACATACCGCATGCATTGACTACGTCATGAATCAAGTTACACGACCATGAAATAGAGTCTTAGTACAAAGAATATGGACGCATTATGTTCCCATTTTACGGGAAATAGCTCTTCTGCTCAAAGCTGCAACCCCACTTCCTACCGTGCCTACAAAGCATCTCAGGATGAGGCTGATCCAGTATTCGTGGCTTCTCACCATCATTGGTGGGCTGCAACGATGCCTAAAGACTCTGCTTGAGCTACAAAGCACCATGGTTGATTGTTTTATTGGACCTCAGATGCTGGAGAGCGCACTGCCTGACGAGCATCAGGATGGTTTCTTTTTTACAGCGGACAGAGAAGCCACCTTGGATCATTCGATACTTGATGGGTATGATCCTGGGCAGCGGATGCACCACTAAAACCGGAGGTTGTCTCGGTGCAAGTGACCTTGCCACATATAAGTTCACAGCCCCTAAGAAGAGTGTCTGTGACAACCAGCCAGTCATGGTGTTTTCAGAAGCGTGCACCATCGGCTCGCTGAAAGTGGAAAAGCAGATTTCAAAGTCTACCAACCCAAAGCCGTGGAGCAAAGCCGTCCGTCTCAACTATGAGATAGTCGTCCCGGCAGGTTCCCTGGCTCAACACGGATCCGACGCGAGTATAACACTACACCCAGTGTTTCTGCCATTGTGCAGATCCAAATCGAGCTCTGACAATAAGATGACCCAGCGATCCATTTCCTCTCCGTCAATGGGAGTGCACACGCAACTAGTCGCGCACCGGAATTCCTCGAGATAAGAATTAGGTGGATCAAGCGCGAACCTTTGGTGTATCAACAGACTTAACCATCCAAGTTCCCCCAATCTCGCACATTGAAAATATCACCCGAACTGGCGGCGTCTGAAGAGGCCCAGCGCATTAGGTAACAGTTCCAGTTTCCAGCCCTCCGAGTCCATTGGATTCGACTTCAACTCGAACAGCGCCCTGACCGTGTCGCTGGACGGCATCACAAAAACGAGCCACAGCCTCGGCTGGTGGTGGTCTCGCCGGCGCTGGTGCACCCAAATCACTACAAAGAGTAGATTCCACGATAACGGCTTTCGCCTTCTTCCCTGAAGAATGCCAAGAACTATGGTGGGATCATCTACATCTCCCACACCCACTCCCTGTCCGACTTACCGCCGGCGCCAGTCTTCTTGAGACTTGGAGAGACTGCTCTTTTCCCATTCTTGCAGGAGGGTGTGACGACAAATGCGCAGTGGCTGAGCATTCTGGAAAAAACCGCACTGTCATTTGCGGCGCAGTTGGGAAGGCGAATCCTCGTCATGAGCCTTGCTACTGACTGGAAGGTCTACTGCGACAACGGCCAGCGCTCGTAGAAGTTGCTCGATATGTACAAAGAGATAATAACAGATCAGTTTCAGGTATGTCTGGACGGCAGTGCCCCTAACGCGGGTGATCGCGAGAACAATCCCCCGGCCACCGCTAGGCGTGCGAATGGGGAGGACGCTAAGCACTACCGAAATCAAATTAGCGAGAAGAAGGATATAGACCACCGGAAGAACCTCAGCTTTTCTCTGGTCAATTTCAACGGGTAGTTACGGGTGGTGTTTAGTGATTGTCTTGACCACCGGCTGCATTGGAACGCCCGTCACAGCCCAGTCATTACGCAGTCCGACCGTAAACATCATTTTATGAAGCCGACAGCATCATTGGCATAGCAGGATGAAATGCGTTTATTCACGCAATGGGCTGTCGAGCTGAAGATATGCATAATTGACGAGATAAAGCTCAACTCAAGCCGAAGAGCCATTACACAATGTTCCCGGCCTACGGGGCTGAGCAAATGATAATAGTGAAGCTGCTCGTTTTGAGCATGATCTAGATGATTTTATGAATAAGGGATAGATTATGGAAGGTTAGAGGTGCAAACACCGACTTGTAAGGAACCATGCGAGGATTACTGGATCAATTTAGCAGCGTGGAGACGAAAGCGTCAGGTTGGGACCCCTTTTACATCGGCCGGCTCGCTACATTCCGACCCGCCGACTGGTTGAATATTGCCTCCGAGCCATTTTAGAGACTCGCATATTATATGAATCTTTTCTAAGCACATTGCATCAAGTTCTGGTCCATTGGTCCACCTGAACCGATGGTTAAGTCGTAGTGGCCTAGCAGGTGGCGGACTTGGGAAACTAACTACAGGGAAATGGATGAAGAGAACCTTGATAATTAATCAACAATGTATGACGTTAGTAAGACGCTTAGACTGTGCGGGTGCATTGCTAGGGGTTGCATTCCTCGGTATCGAGTATCGTATGCAGGTGCAGTCAGTTATGTATCCGAAACGGATGAACTTTTCATCAAATCGAATTCTGAATCGGCCGAATGTGACTATGCATCAACAGGATCGACAGAAACTACCATACTTATGGGGATTGTTACTCTGAAATTATGATAAGCATGTGTAGACTTGACGAGGAATTGAAGGGGAATTGAAGGAATACACACAGTCCTTGACAATGCAGTGGATCCCGTGTCCTCTGACTGTACTGTGGTAATTTCATAGAGAAGTTAAGACTAGCTTTGAAAATGTCGTAATTACAAAATATGATGTAGGTCATTGACCACATGTTGCCAATAAGCCGAGCCAGATGATCTAATACGCAGCTGTTTGCAGTGGACTCACATCTCGTTCTGCATTGAGAGCTGATCTGTTCTGGTCTGTATATGTATAGCAACCACTATTTCCTCTACCTTCTACCACACTTATTTTGATTATATGTAATATAGCTTAATATAAACTTATCATACTATCATACCCTAGTATACCCTAAATTTAGGGTAACTAGGTATGGTATGAAGTACATAGTAATTTTTGATGCGGTCGATTTGCTGTGCTAAAGGGGGAGAGATATATATATAGAATATACAGTTTCACCACCCAATTAACCATATATATAGGTCTTCCCAACCACCCTTTATATAATTGAAATAAAGAATAAGCTATATTTTATTTAGTCCAGGTGAGGGTTGTGTAGAACTGTAGCCTATGAGGTATTTAAAGTGGTATTTTACCCCTCCAAAACCAAACTTTCTGGGTAGTTTATGAAAAATACACATAATTTTGGACCCATAAAGATGGGCCCCCATTTGAGCCGGGCATCTTTATGGGTCCAACCCATTATGCCGAAGCCTAGGGTTATCTCAACCGAAAGCAACTTGGGGAGAGCCCCAATATCAATCATTTGCATATGACAAATCCGAGCAATTCTCCTCAATCCCAAGAGCTTCTTGTTCATTTTGGTACTAGTCTCCCGATGATATAGCAAGTTGAGATGTCTCTTCTCGCGATACCCGCTTAGGCAACCAATTAGCTGGACCACACGCCTTTTTACATGTCTCAAAATTCAGTTCTCTGCCTGAAACAGGCAATATCTCGCAGGGGAAGCTTTTTTTATATTGCGCAGTACGGCTACTTCCTCGTGAGGGGTCAAAACATGGAAAAGCTTCGGTTAGGTAGGAGGATAGAAGTTGTCGTATTCGCAAGTATAATAGAATACAGATTTAATGAAGGCGGTCAGAGTTTTGACAAACTGCTTACTATTCTTCTATGATAGCATCCTTAACGGCATACATCAAACCCATTGGGGATGTCGGAGCTGACTGCGAGTAGCCACCAGCAGCTCGACCATGGCAAAAGTCGACCCTCCCATGATTTCTAGCACGGCCACATCGGCCAAAAACTCCTTCGCAAACCAATTACAAAGTTCAACCGCAAGAAGTGAGTCAACTCGATAAGTGTGCAGGGGGGCGTCAACATCGACATCGACATGTTCGGGAATCAACCGGTACGAATGTACCATCTTATGAATGAGGGCCCGACCGATGATCTCGCGACCTTTCTGCAGAGACGTTGTCTTGAGAAAGAGCTTCTTGAAATCCGCTTTCTCGCTTTTCACCGAGTTTGGGTCCATGAGGATTTTTTCCAGCTTCAGTCGCTTGAAGAGAGGTTTGTCTGTCAGTTGATTCTCGACCTGTCGACCACCACGACCGGATACCCCAAATACCAACTGAGCATTGCCGGGGGTTAACGGAACCTTCATGGGTTTGCAATAGTGACTCAGAAGAGCGAAGAACTGTTCCCGGCTCACTGGAGCAAGCGATCCATATTGAAGAACCTTGTCGAGGAAGCCTTCGGTTTCAACCAAAACGCCGTCGTCAATCATAGGGCCAAGGTCCAAAGATACTGCTTGTTGTCCATGGAATGCCAGGTGTCTCGCAAAGCTGTCCATGTAGGAGTTTCCTGCGGCATAGTTGGATTGACCTGTGAGTCCAATGACATTACTGGCCGAGGAAAACATAATAAAGAAATCCAGTGGTGGAAGAGCCTCGGCCAAGTTTTTTGATCCCAGAGCTTTGCATTCTACCGCCACGTGCCAGTCATCAAAGCGTATCTCGCTGAATAAACAGTCACGAAGAACCATCGAGGCTTGGATCAGGCCTTTGATTGGGGGCATTGTTTGCATGACTTGACCCATCACCGATTGGACACTTTGTGTATCGATGATATCACATGGAGGTGCCTGGACCGTTACCCCCTGGGCAGAAAGTTCGTCAATGAGGACTCTGGCTGCCTCTGTCGTGGGCCCCGAACGTCCCAGCAGTACGAGGTTGCGAGCCCCTTGAGAAACCATCCACCGTGCTGTTGCACGTCCCAAGCCACCTAGGCCACCAGAGATCACATAGGTAGCACTGGCCTGAAGTTGAGCCTCGTTCTTCGTTTTGAACACCGTCGGAACTTCGACATTCACCGTCAGATCAATGACTGTCTTGCCCGGATTGGTTCCATGTTGCACGGAACGGAAGATTTCCTCGATAAAACATGCGCTCTCCATATGGCAAAAGCTCAAATTGACATGACCCGCAGTGAGGAGTGGAAGTACTTCGTTGATTGCCTCTTGAAGCATATCTGGTCTGTCACTGATCCACTGGAGGTCGTCGAAATAGGTCAGAGACGCCTGCCGACTGAAATGTGCTAGCGGGAGAAGGCCGCTGGACTGGTGGCCGACTTGGATCATCAGACCATATGGTGCTACACATTCCCAAGAGGCACATTGTATCTTCCCACCAGCGAAATTGATGACCATGTCCGCTCCGTGGTCAGTTGCTCGCATGAGCCCAGATGCGAAACAGACATCGCGAGCGTCCAAAATACGTTCGGATGGCAACATGCCTTGCTGAAACAACCATTGCCTCTTTTCTTCTGTATCAAATGTCGTGTATACCATGGCCCCGAGATATCTAGCAAGTTGGATTGCGGCTTGGCCGAGGGAACTAGTGCCATCATGCACTAGAACCGTATGCGTCCGACGGAGGCGACCGACCGTGACCAAGAGATGCCACGCCGTGCCAAATGCCATCGGTATAGCGGCGGCATGAGTGAGTGGAATCTCGCTTGGTATGCGGAACACGAAGTCCTGTTTGGCTCTCGCCATCGTCCTAAACTTCCCAGGGCCGAAGGCGAGCACGCGGTCACCAGGTTGAAGGCCAACGCAGCCGTGACCTACTTTGACAACCGTCCCAGCGCACTCGAGCCCAAGAGGTATATCGGGAATCTTTCCTGTTACACTCAGAACGTCGTGCAAGGTGACGCCGACAGCTGCAACCTTGATAATGACATCATCGGGTTGAATCAGGCGGATATCATCTTCGTCTGCCCAGTGGAGTGATGTAAGAACGCCAGATGTTCCGCACAACAATCGAGCGGAGCTCAAATCAGCAAGTGGTTGGATTGAGGATTGCAGAGGCTGAGACGCCAAGTGTAGCCCTTTGGTAAGTTGGAGATCAGGCTCGAGTCGAAGAATGTGCAGAGTCCCATCGATCTCCAAGAATTCCGGCTCGTAATCCGAGGTCGGGTCAGCCAGAAGACTTCCTTGCATAACATGCATGATGTGATTGATTTGCCGACCCAAGATCTCTCCCCCAGGTCCAGAGCCAAGGTACAGATTCGTCGAGTCGCCTTCTCATTGCGCAATGTGCGGGTCCATCCATCAACAAGGCCATATTCGGGCAACGTGTCATGCCCACCGCCAGCAGTGACCCAAAGGATGGAATTGCATCCATTAGTCAGTGTTTGCAGACTCGTAAAGGTCGCGCGCGTCATATTGCTCAACATTGGCCGTTCGGTTTCTTCAAGGCAGACCACTGTCGATCCCATGAGGTCGGAAGCGGCACATTCTTCCAGGCTCCCAGACACAACCTGCGATCCAGGATAGTGCAGTAGCAGAGCTTCACGAACTCGATTGAATATTTCTTGCTGTAGCCTGGAGAGGCAATGCATGATGAAATAAAACGATTGTCGTGTCTGTTTCATTTCGTGCACCCGGGTATCCGAAGCATTAGCCACGATGATGTCCATTTCGTGACATTCGGTGTCATCAAACTCTGGAAACACAACTTCAATGCCATGGAATCCAGAACCTCTCAAAGCTCCGTCCCATTCATCGACCGTGAGTGCAGGACTGTGTACTCTTCCATCATCGACACCGGCCCACCAGCCCTCCATGAGTCCCGCAATGAATCCAGAACGAATAATCTCTGGATGTGTCACTTCAAACAGCATCAATTTGCCATCTGCCTTCAACAGGCTGTGCACATTGTTGAGGGTATCTCCAATGCAAGGAGTTGCGTGAAGAACATTGGCCGCGATGATCAAGTCATACGAGCCAAGTTCGTACCCCTGCTCTACTGGGTCCTGCTCAATATTCAAAATTCGGAAATGGAGATGTGGGTATTTAGCGAAGCAGTCCGCGGCTCGCTCGAAAAACGCCGGCGATATATCAGTGTAGTCATAACACTTGTAGAGTGCAGACTCTTCGGGGACATTGCAATCAGTCGACAGGGCCTTCAAGATATGACGCGTCGATCCACCAGTACCGGCTCCAATCTCCAGAATCCGCATATTAGGGTTTTTTCTGGCAGCTGTTTGCAAGTAGAGTCCCCATGGCTTGAAGCAAGGTCGATTGTTCACCTCGCTGTACCACTGCGCCATCATATCACCATTGAACAAGAACTCGAGAGGGTCCTGATCTCCTTCGAGGATCTTGAGAAGGTTACGTCCAGTATGAACGTATGCAGCCCCAGCACCATTACTGGACAAAACCCGTTGACATACTGCTTCAAAGTAGCCAGGTCTTTCCAGGTACTCGCCCCATTCTGGTCTGCTGAGAGGAAGCTCACCGGCTCGATACTTCTCCTTCTGCAGAGTCGCCCAGTCCACATACCGCTGAACGTGCGGTAATCGCGAATGAGATGTTGCATGATTGGCAGTGATCGCAGTCAATGCATCGGCAAGAAATTTATACAAGACAAAGTTCAAATCTCGGAAGAATTCCACGGGTTCTGTTGGCTTTGAGATGGCCTGTCCACAAAACGCGATTAATCGCGCGGTGTCCATTGTATTCAGATCTGCCACACGATTCAAGCGAAACGCGGTCAATGGAGCTACCTCCTGCTCAGTAGATGGGCTTGTGGTACCACCCAAGATGGTAGATTGAAGTCCGTGGACCTGAACAAGAAGTCGTTTCTCATTCATGGCACATGCGTCAAATGCATGTCCTCGATTATGAAATGATTTCATCCATGCCGACGTCTGAACTCTGTCAACAGCCCCATTTATACCCTTGCGAGCCACCCAGAGCGATCCGATCCCAGTCGGGATAGCGGCAGGGACTTGGATTTGCGCATCTCCCATAAGGGCCACCGAGGACAAGTGTAGGATCCCATCCAGAGTGGTAGGATGGATGATGTGATTCTGTGGATGTTCCATTTCAGGCCACTGGAAGACTTTGACAAGAGCTATGGCTTCCCTTCCATTGCATTTAGCACCCGTCACGGTCTGGAAAGCAGGACCGAATTGAAAGCCGGACCCATGCAGACGGGTGTAAATGTCATCGTCGACTAGCTTCGACGTGCAAGTATGTCCGAGTTGATCGTGGCGTTGGGACCAATCTTCGCAGACCCTCGTTTGCTCGGTATCGTTGCTCGCGGACTGATAATCGACTCGGATGTACCCGTGACAATGCTCCTCCCATGCATCATTCTGCCAGGAGCACAGTCTGAATTCCATCCATGAGGTGGGCCTTTCCCCGCCGTTCATGGTCCGTAACAGGAGGCTGGTCTCAACACCCTCTGCTGTGCGAGGGATAACCAGCGCCCGCTGGAACTTTACAGCCTTTAGTTCAAAGCCGGAAATAGCATCGGCATCATTGACCATCTGATTAGCGGCTTCGATGGCCATCACGACCATACCCGCTCCCGGGTAAATAAGAGTGCCGCCAATGACGTGGTCTTCTACCCAAGGCATTTCTGTGACACGGATATGATGTCGCCACCGAGCCTCCAAAGGATCCCACTCCGGTACACGCTGTCCAATGAGGTCGTAGCGAGGTTCTCTGAGCCGTCCCCTCTTGCTGGCTCTGCTTTCACGCCAGTATGAGTTAGTATGGTTGAACGGGTACCGCGGGAGATCCACCAGAACCCGTGGATGTTTGACAGGGCTCGGATCCGTGAGCCTATTCACTCTTTCCATATTCACTGGTATGCCCAGACAGTGTAGCTGCCCGACAGCGGCGAGAACCTGATGGGTTGCATTTTCCTTGCGCCTCAGCGTTGGACAATACCTCATATCGCGACCCCATGGCAGCGTGTCCAGCATATCTCGAATGGGCCCCTGGAGAGCTGAGTGAGGCCCGATTTCAAGAAGAATGTTAACGCTGGCTTGGCTTCTGTGGCTGCAGTCCAGCTTCTTGCGAATTCTTCGTCCAGAGCATATTCCGAAGAAAGCGTCTGTGAATCGGACAGGCGAGACAAGATTGGCAACCCAATAGTCTGGTGTTCCCAACTCTTCAAGCTTAACCTTTTTGCCTGTCACCGAAGAGACCATCATAACTGGTTTGATTTGGCGTCCAATACCAATGCCCATCATCTGTTCGCGATACTTGCCCGCCACAAGGTTCATGTGAGAGGAATGGTAGGCGACCGGAATCTTCAGTATCCGGGCAAAGATACCCTCAGCATGGAGTAAGTTTTTCAGAATTTCGATTTGGTCTCGATCCCCGGAGACCGTCACACTCTTCTGGCTGTTGACGCACGCGACAGAAATCTTGCGACAGCAAAAACTAGCGACCTTGTCAATGAATTGTTCTGTTTCCTCCACCGAAAGTCCGACAGCCATCATACCGCCGCTCGTTCCACTGTCCCTAGCTAGCTGACCAGCACAAAGGCCCCGAAAATATGCGACCTTCATGGCGTCCTGGAGATTCAGAGCGCCAACTGCATATGCAGCGGCAATTTCCCCGGAGGAATGCCCAATGGAGGCCGCAGGCCGAATACCAAGACCATCCAGAAGATCGAACAAAGCAATCTGCAGAGCAGTATTTGCTGGCTGGGCGACTTCGGGCTCATGGATTCTAGACCTGCTGGTACTTTCGACTAGACACTCTTCACGCAGAGACCAAGGGCAGCCAAAGGAACGCAGAGCCTTCTCGCAGTTGTCAATGGTATTGCGAAACCCAGACAAGCCCCAAAGCTCTCGGCCCATCCCAGGCCACTGCGCACCCTGGCCGCTGAAGACAAATCCTAGGACAGGGGCATCGAGGGTTTTATGGATTGGGGATACCAACTTGTCAATATTTTGTAAGTCGGAGAATCGAGAAGCGATAAAGAATGTTCTATTATCGAGGGTCGTCCGACGCAGGTTTAGAGTGTAGGCTAAGTCCCCTAAATATTCTGAATGACTGGACTGCGGGGATAACATCTCAAAATGGCTTTGGTATGTGTGAACCATGTTCTTCGTGACCTCTTTGCTAGAAGCAGAGAATACCAAAAGCCTGGGTAGGTCACCGGGGGTTTGAATCCTAGAGGACTCCGTGCTTTCTGCTGTTTCCGAGACAGCCAGAGTAGCAGGGACCTCCACAGTGACATGATTTGCCACGAGGTGATGATCTTGCAGAAAGTGGAACGCATCATCCAGGATAACATGAGCGTTTGAGCCTCCAAATCCAAAGGAATTCACAGATGCCCGCCGCAAGCCCCGAGTTGGCCATGGTGTTGGCTGGTGAGGAAGTTTCAGGTTTAAGAACTCGAGATCAATTTTGGGATTTAGCCTTTCGAAATTAGCATTGGGCGGAATGAGTCCCTTTTCAAGAACCATGATGGTCTTGATGATGGCGGCAATTCCACTGGCACCCTCAAGATGGCCGATATTTGACTTCACGGCGCCAACTATAAGCGGCTCTTGGATTCCAGGTGAACTACACCCGCGCATGCCACGGAAGGCCTCTCCTATTGCGTTGCACTCAATTGGATCACCGACCGGAGTTCCTGTTCCATGGGCCTCGAAGAAACAGGTTGGCTCCATACTAAGCCCTGCTTTCTCGTAGGTTCTTCTAATCAGTTGTGCCTGAGAAGCTCCACTAGGTTGCATGATTCCGGATGGCGTCAAGCCGTCCTGGTTGGAACCGGTTGCACGAACGACGGCTCGGATAGTATCGCCGTCACGAATGGCGTCTCTGAGGCGTTTCAAGATCAATGTTCCAGTTCCTTCGCCCCGGCCGTATCCGTTTGCGCGATGATCAAAGCTATGGCTTCGCGAATCGGGGGAGAGCATGTTGACATTCGAGAACACTTGCATCATGTCTGGCGATAATATCATATTAGTACCCGCGACGATTCCCATATCGGCATCTCCGGATTGTAAGCCTTGACATGCTAAGTCCATGGCTACTAAGCTGCTAGAGCATGCCGTGTCGATATTCATGCTGGTGCCATGCAAATCGAAGAACCAACTGACTCTGTTGGCATTCATACATGCGTTGATACCGACAACGTCATAGTCGGCACTCATTTCGACATCTTTGCAGGCCATAAGGCGGTAGTCACTCCCAAAGCATCCAACATGGACAGATGTTTGGGAACCTGCGATGCGTGCCATTGGTATACCGGCTGTCGAGGTTGTTAGAGACAAAGATTCTCACGATCCACAACTTTGACTGTTACCATTCTCAAGCGCACCATACGTCACCTCCAGTATTTGCCGCTGCTGGGGGTCCAGTGCAGACGCCTCGTCAGCGGAAAGGGAGAAAAATGCAGCATCAAAAAGGGACACATCTTCTTTGAGAAAATGCCCCCCTCGTGGTGTGAACTGTCGTTATTTAGAATGATTCTATATTACCGCCGCTCGGGGCGATTCACCTGTCCTCGTCGCCTTTTGTCTGGATGATACCACCCAGCGACATTCCAACGATCGGCCGATGATTGCGTCATGGCGCATCTCTTCTCCATCATCAACCTCCAAAATCCCTCGTCATCGACTGCATCGCCTGGGAAGCGAAAACAATACCCTACAACCGCTATAGGCTCAAGTAGATCTTTGTCTTTGACAAGAGCCCCCGTCGGGCGTAGTGCCGATCCACCATAAGGGATTTGGCTATGGTAGCTGGATTTTTCGATCTCTTCACACATCAGAAGAGCCATAATGGCTTCGGAAATATTTCGTTTGGTGTTTTATCATCAATTTGAGAAGAGGGCTGGACGGAAGTCCTCGTGTATCTTCAATCGGGGGAACGTGGCAATGAAGATCCACTTATCGAATCCAACCGACCCCTCATGTTTACCCCGTCATCTCTACTAATATCCCGGCTCTAACGAATTGTGACCGAAGAACCTTGGATACAAAAAACCAACAGGTTCGGTTCCATTGCCCAGGTCCACTACTGCGCTCCGCCCCAACGCTCTACGCTATCAGCCGATCACAATTCAATTTCAGAACACTGACTAACTAGAAACCCCTTGCACGCTGCACTTGCTGATCAAAGATTGGCCATGCATCTGTAGGGCCCCCGCCCCTGGATTCCGTTTCATTGGGTGCGCGCTGAACCAGGTGGAGAGTATCAACACGGCCCGGTCTGATGGTCTGAAAAAGGCAAGACCGAGACTGGTGCGAATATGCGTCAGAGGTTATCATCGTGGGCTCAGTCGCACACAGGCCATTGGTTGTCCAATTCCCATCTTGCACTTGAAATCGTTATCATCGGCTCTTCCTGCGCACTCTTTTGATCCCCCAAAGAATTATGCATGTGGATACTGCAACTCCTGAAATTCTCCTTTTGAGGGCCTTGGTGGAGAAAATCCCGCCATACTGTGGGAGTGGGTCAACGGGCCAAACGAGGTCAAAATGGGGTCGTAGGTTTCAGACGGCGCGGCCCGTTTGATAGAGTGGTAAAGTGGTACATGGTAATATCCCCGGTAACGTATTTCACAAGCGAGGGAGCCACCCAGTCGGCCGAGCCACCTCGAAACACATCGTAAATGCGATAAATTATACCTTAATATTTCAATAACAACGCATATTAATCGTATCAAATCTTCAGTCTTGTCTTTTTCAGGAAGCTTTAGTTCGCCTTTGGAGTTTGGTGTAATTTCATGGAGGGTTTTATGATAATACCAAAAAATTCGATGAATGTATATATTGAAGCTCGTAACGTAAAGCTTTGACTTTAAAGACTAGAAATTAACTAAACCACGGGAATATACTATGGGTAGTCTAAAAAAAATACATTTCTATTGAGATTTCGAGAGTGTTGTTGGTCACATGACGATCCCATTAAGCCAAAAGGCATAATTCGGACTCTTCGTTAGAAGAGTCCTAATTCCAACGATATATATAATTATGGTTCTTTTCGGTCGCGTATGGCCAGAACCGGGCCGCGCGGAGCCCCTGATTAACTAATCAGTCCCGTAGGTCCCGGGATTATGCGCCCATAATCCCACCAGAACCACACTATGATGAAAGATTCAGTTGTAATTTGTCGCTTTGACTATGTGTTTTAGGGTGGCTCGCTCGCTTGTGAAATACGTTATTCGGCCGTCTATGCAGCCATACTAGCTCTACCCACTGTTCGTCTGATGGCCCGAACACAACCAAGCAACGCCTCTTTGGCCTTTGTACCTGGAACCGAATGCCCCTCCTCGTGCAGGAAAACCACCCGGTCCTGTGGATCACACATTCCACATAGTCGCTCGCTTCTCTCCGCCCAAAGTTCATCATTCCGCCCCCAAATGTGGGCTGTTGGGAATCCTCTCAGATAAAGATCGTCGACCGTTTGCAAAGCTACCTCTCCGCGCTGAAGAGAGGCCAGATCCACGGGTGCCCCCGCGGACAAAAATACAGCACACTTGACCGGAAGCGGCACGTTTGGGTACAGCTGAGCCTGCCGAAGCAGCCATGTTGCTGCCAATGCACCCCCCAGAGAGAACGCAATGAGGCCATCGTAAGGCCCCTCGAGCTTCAGGAACTCAGTCATGTCGTCTAGGGCCTTTTCAACGCTCTCGGCCGATTGGAATGAAAAATAGTCATAGTAATCCCCATCTGAAGGGAAAAAGTCCTTCAACTCTGGTTCTCCTACTTGGTAAGTCTTGGGCATTTGTGGGTGGGTGGTGGATCTCACCGGGGGCCAAAGGCGCAGGAAGAGTCCCTTCTACAAAGTCATATGTGTGACCATCTTCCAGTTCATGGCGCAGCGCAGCGATCTGTGTTTCCATAATCTGCAACTATATCAGTTCAGAAACACCCAGCAATTACTGACCCCAGGGAAGGAATCACTTGGCTGTTGGTGCCTCTGCCATGGAGACAAAGAAAGCGCATGGTCCTCGTGGTAATTCGAAAGGAGTTGATAACGACAATTGCAATCCGAGATAAATCCTATCTTTGACACATGTTATATCTCAGTCTTGAGGTCAATGCTACATCTTTTCCCGACCCACACTTTTACGGTGATGAAATTATGGGGGGTCTGCAGGACTACGGGGCGTTTTGTTTTATTCCCTGTTTTTTCCTTTTATTTTGCCACATTGGAGATGGGCTGTGCGTCGGACGCGGTCTTAATTGGTAATATTCTTGTGCAAATTGCCTTGTGCTATTGAGCATTTGGCCCCCGCACTAGTCGAGAATACAGCGTCTAGTGCAGTGCGTCGTGGCCCGTAAAATCTACACTAAGCTGACTGGGGTAACCGACCGGAATTAATAAATACCACAATTCCCAATCCTCCGGTACAGGGTTAGACTATTGTCACTGATTCCCTCGACGTGTCCCTTTTTCAGGCCATATGACGGGCATGAAAACCCAGTCAAGCGAGGCCTACCTCCGCGAGACCAAACAGCCACTAATACTTGGGATCTCGGGGTTTTTCATTGCAATTGAGACCATTGCCGTAGCTCTAAGACTCGTTTCAAAGCGAATTGGTGGCCTACGTATTGGTTGGGATGATGCCCTTGTTTGCTTGGGTCTCATCTTCTGTATCGGCGATGCAGCCTGCACAATCGGTATGCCTGATTCTTGTATGCTCACACGATTGGGGCTAACTTTCACGTAGCGGACGTGTATCATGGTGGCATTGGGCTTCACGAAGAACGGGTCCTCCAGATTGACCCGACCATGATGGTGACTTGGGGGAAGTTCATCATCATCATCCCCATTGTATACTTTTCCACTGTCATGCCTCCAAAGTTGGCCATCTTGCATCTCTACCTCAGTATATTCACGAACAAGAAGCTTCGTTATATCTGCTTCGCAACTGCAGCCGTGGTGGTCGGAAATTGGATCGCTGTGACCATCGCCGGCGGTCTTGCATGTCAGCCCATTAGCTACTTCTGGACCGGAGAGGGGAATTGCATCGATATAAACTCATACCTACGCTGGGGTGGCTTTGCCAACATTTTGACAGACTTGGTCATGCTGGTCTTACCTATACCAGTGGTGTGGAATCTTCATGCGTCAACACGGCTGAAGACTGGTATCCTGATCACATTTTTGCTCGGTAGCCTGTAAGTCCTACATTCAAGATTCTGGACGATGTATTCCCCACACTAACAATCTCAGTGGTCTAATCTCATCTATTGTTCGGTTTGTCGAATTCTACATCACTAATGCCGAGGTTGACAAGACTTGGGCCGCTTCAACTCTCGTCATTTGGGCTGTTATTGAAGGCGGCATCTACCTTGTTGCCGCTTGCTTGCCTACTTACCGCCCACTAATGAGATCCGTGTCGCGCAAAATCCGAGGCTCGGAGCCCGCGGGCACTGATAGTACAATTTTCGGTGGATCCAGCCGACCCGATGCTCGAGACATAAAGCCTATCTCCAGTGGCTTCGGAAAGCTTGATGATGAAGAGGACGCAGTGAGATTGGTGACTCTGGGGCAACACCGTCAGGACATTGCCCCCGGGGCGATTCTGGTCGACCATCAATTTTCGGTTCATTAGAGTCGGGACTGCCAGTTTGGTTTTTTGTATATTACTCTTGTTGCCATGTCACTTATCATTCAGTTCAGTCCGTGGGTATTGCTACAACGTTGAAAGAAGTTCATTCAGTTTGTGCTTCCGGGTATTGACAAGCTACAAGTACACTCTCTGGCCACGTCTGCGGAGATAATACCGCCCAGATCATAATTTGAGCTCTCATATTGCTTACACCAGCCCTGATCATAATGTTAATTAATCCTACCTCCTTATTGGTTACCATTTAGTTTCCGATGAAGAAAAGTGAATAAATAACCTAACGATATAATATCAGTATTAGATAATCAATTTTACAAAACAAAAAAAAACGCTGTAAATTTCGGTATAATTTACTACCGTCGCGCTAATGCACTGCACAGTGTCTCCGCGAATGTGGCCAGAGTGTAAACTCACACAATTTGGTGTGCGAACCTACACGTGCTGGAAAAGATTGCTTAGTAAGAGACAGAAGTGGGCCCTGCTAGGTGATTTAATGTTGACGTTCCAATGCTACATTAAGACCATAGTACTCTGTACTGTATTGGGGATGAAGCGGCGCGCCCGACGACCCGCATATCCATACACATGCATATATAGCAATACAGCATTAGAATACGCTGAAAAATACCTGCGGCCCCACAGGCTACTCCGTTATTGCAATGTTGCCTTTGGGGGCCGAATGCGAACAAAGCTGTTGGACACCCCACTGGGTATATCTGAAACCCCCCACTTTAACTAATGCAATATAGCAGCGCTAACTTACGAGGAGCAAAAACTGCCCATTCCCTGTAGGCTGAACCATTCTGAATGTCGCTTGCCGTCGGTGTCTCGCAGGACTTTCCAAGATTTTCATTACTTTTTCCCCCGACCTATTGACGCCCCACGGTCATACTGCTATTTATGAGGCGACGTGGTACTGGGATTGCGCACATGAAACCAACTTTTCTCCCAACATAGCATCTCAGATTGCAAATATTCCACGATGACTGCTTCAGCTGCAAACGACTTTAATCCTTGCACACAACTCATTCCCAATATCATTGATCACTATGCCCGGGTCTTGCCAAATGCCATCTATGCCGAGTATCCGGTCTCTTCGATGAGTTACGAAGATGGGTACCGCCCGGTCACCTACAAGGCGCTTGGAAATGCAATTAATGGCATTGCAACCTGGCTAACGGCGAACCTGGGTCCAGGAAATGGTGAAATCTTGCCTTATGTAGGACCAAACGATGTGCGGTATCCAGCCCTGGTTTTAGGTGCCATTAAAGCTGGCTACTGCGTAAGTGTCCACAATGGATGGTTCGTGGAACTGGAATGATCCACTGACGTGAAATAGATGTTCCTCACATCTCCACGCAATAGCGCCGTTGCTCACCAGAGTTTACTCAAAAAGCTCGGTTGCACCACATTGATATGCCCTACGCCCCGACCAGCTCCCGTCAATGTTATTTTGGATGCATGCTCACTCAATGTACTAGAGGTTCTGAGCGTGGATGAGCTGATGAGCACCCAATATCCGGACTTTCCTTTTTCGAAAACGTGGCCAGACGCGGCGACAGAGACATTGGTTGTTCTGTACGCCAACCCTTGCAATTCTTTACAAACCCCTTGCTATCAACTGCTAACCTCTATGTATGTAGCCACACATCCGGGTCGACTGGAATTCCAAAGCCAATCTTCTGGACTCACGACACCGCATGCAAGCACATGGAGATGGTAGTGCTTCCTCCTCCACACGGCTACGAGAGCCAGGACTACTGGAATTTCGGCAAGAGAATGTATCTTGTCCCGCCCCCTTTCCATGTATGTTTCACCAAACACCCGTCGGAACAATTCGAGCTAATATCGCACCAGGCTGCGGGCGTGGCATACTTGCACTACATTGGGCTATCCGTGGGCATTTCCTTGATTGCCCCGACATCCGGAGGCCTTCCTACTGCGGCTTCTCTGGTCGAAGCGAGAAAGAAGACCAATTTCGAGACCGCTCTGATCGTTCCTTCCATTGTGCAGGAGCTCGCACAAAGTCCCGAGCTCCTGGACTACGTCAGTAGAAATCTGACACATCTTGTGTACTGTGGAGGAGATCTTCCACAGCAGATTGGCGACGCAGTGGCTGCAAAGATCAAACTTGTCAATCAGTACGGCGCCTCCGAGGTTGGCATGATGCCTTCAGTTCATTCCACAACAAACCGAGATCCTTTCAAGGACTGGCGGTACATTGACTTCCATCCTAGGATGGGGGTAGAGCTTCAGCATGTCTCGGATGGTGAGTATGAGCTGGTTGTGGTCCGTCGTCCAGATTACGAACCACAGCAGTTCTCATTCACCATCTTCCCCGACAGACAGCAATATCACACCTCGGATTTGTTTGTTCAGCACCCTGATCCAGCAAAGGCCGATCTGTGGCGCTGGTGTGCTAGAGCCGACGATATCATCGTACTGCTCAATGGCGAGAAGACAAACCCAGTCTCCATGGAACAACATATTGTTGCATCCAACCAACAGGTAACAGCCGCTTTGGTCGCGGGCACACAGCGCTTCCAAACCTCCCTTCTCATTGAGCTTAACACAAAAGAAAATTTGAGCTTGAGTGAGCGTGCTGCCATGATTGAGAAACTCTGGCCTAGTATTCAGCAGGCCAATGCTGTTTGTCCGGCCCATGCACGGATTGCAAAAACTCATATCGTTTTCACTACGAAGGAAATGCCAATGCTTCGGGCTGGAAAGGGTACCATCCAGCGAGCCGGAACACTCGCACAGTACCGCCATGAGCTTGATAAATTATACGCTGATGCGGACGAATTATCGAGTGATGCTGGGATTGGAAATGGACCTGGTCGCAGCAATGACCTCCCCGTCGTTTCTCAGTATATTCGACAGTCTATTTTGGATATCACAGGATGGAATGACAGCCTCTCCGATACGGAAAACTGGTTTTCCCTTGGGCTTGACTCCCTGCAAACAATCACCACTACCCGAGTTCTTAGGCAGGGTCTCGGAATTCCAAGTCTTAGCCCAAATGTGGTATACTTGCATCCCACGGTGTCGGAATTGGCCAATGCAATTATTCTTTTGCACTCCCAAGGAGATCAATCTGCCGAAGACCATCAAAGGCACCAACTGCAAGAACGTGAGGAACTGTTGCAAGAACTCCTTGGGCAGATCAAGCTTCCTTCAAGCCCTCCTCCTCGCACAACTCCCACAGAGCAAATTGTTATCCTCACTGGCTCGACAGGCAGCTTAGGCAGCTACATTCTACATGCACTATTACAAAACCCCTCCGTGGTGCATGTCCATTGCCTGAATCGCCGATCCAATGCTAGTGAGGTGCAATCCCAGAAGAGCAAATCATATGGCCTACAGCTAGATCATACCCGGGTGAGCTTTTGGACTGCAGACCTTGCGGAGCCTCAACTTGGCCTACCTCTCACGACCTTGAGGCAGCTTCAACAGACAGCCACGCTGGTGATTCATAATGCCTGGGCGGTCAATTTTAACCTGTCTCTTAGGTCATTCAAACCTAATCTAGAGGGCGTCGTGAATCTCGTCAACTTCAGCCTTGAAGCTACATATGGGCCTCATCTGTATTTCATATCCTCAATTAGCTCAACTATGGGGCACCATACGCAAAATGGCCTCACTCCGGAGGACGTGGTCACCACCACCGTGCCCGCCCCCAATGGATATGCCAATAGCAAGTATATTGCCGAGCGCCTTCTCGCCGAGGTAGCCGAGAGAAGTTCTGGGGCTTTTCATCCCGCCTATTCACGCGTTGGTCAGATCGCTGGCCCAGTGCGTTCAAGTGGTCTATGGAACAGAGCGGAGTGGTTCCCCAGCCTAGTTCTGAGCTCCGCGCACATTGGAGCCCTCCCAGAAAGCCTCGGCCCTGCTCTGGACCGTATCGACTGGGTGCCTATTGATCTCCTTGCCGAAGTCCTGGTGGACCTAGCACTCACTAGAAGTGTTAGGGTAGATGGAATTGTGGAAGTGCATCACCCAGTGAATCCTAGTCCACTGAGTTGGAACGATATCAGACCAGCTGTGGTGGAAGCTCTCAAGAACAGCTCCGGTTCGAACGTTGAGACCGTAACCTTCCGTGAGTGGCTACATCGCGTCCGCCAGGATATTGAAGTAGCTGGAGTTGACGGGGACAAGGAGCTGCAAGAGCTTCTTGCGCAGAATCCAGCTGCCAAGCTCTTGGATTTCTTTGATCAGGTCATGTCCCAGTCCACAATGGAGAACTCACTAGACACAGAACTTACCACTCGGCGCTGTAGGAAACTCCAGGCTGTGGGTGCGGTCAAAGCGGTGTGGATCCAAAAGTGGGTTCGTGAGTGGTTATAGTAAAAAGACTTAGTCTCTACTTAGCTTAGATATTACCTTCAATCCTAAGCTTAGAGGTTAGCTGGTTAGATTACTCTTCGCAGTATTTCAAGGGTGAAATCTCTATGGCGATTAGGCTTCGGCAAATGGGCCCTCAAATTCAAAATTCCAGGGCCCAACCCAACCCAAAAAATATGGGCCCGATATGGGGGGCCCATAGGCCCATATTTTCAAAATTGATGCTTAATCTTGCCTGATTTTGCCTGATTTTGCATATTCTTTGCCAAGACTTTTCTTTTAATTACAACTATTCTAGTCTGTGTATGTATAGCAACCACTATTTCTCTAACCTTCTACCATACCTAATGTAATTATAAGTAATATAGCTTAATATAAGCTTATTATACTATGAAATAACCCGTGCCATAGTCTATCCCATAGTGGGAATCCCGTGGGTTTTATCCAGGTCTATCTAGCACTATCCAATAAGAGTCTATTCTATAGATCCAAGCCCGTATAAGGCCTAAAGGCGACAGTACGATTGCGATTAAGACTTAAGGGCGAGCCCTGAGGTACGTATAAGGAACAATACGAACGATACCCACCGTGACTAGTTAGCACCGCGTAACAAGTATTTCTTAAAGGGAGCTATATCTAGCCCCCCCCCCCCCCTAAATGAAACTTCTAATGATATTTTAAATTATAATTAGCTCAATATAATCTTTAGGATTATAAGGTCATTTCTCTAAATTTCTAGAGGTTTATATAAAGAAGGCATAGTAGTATATTATATAAACTAGAATAGATATAAGAAAGGGTAAACTTTCTTAATGACTAAGTAGCTTTATGATTAGGATTATGAATAATTTAGGCTTATTTAGGCTTATTTAGGCTTTATTAGGGGCCTAGACTAGGCTTTGGGTTAGGTCTGGGCCAGAGAGGTTAGGCCTAAGCCTAATATAGGTTGAGTTTTGGGCCGAGACCTAGGGCCTAAATTAGCCTTTGCGGAAGTCTAATAATAATAATTTAGATAATAGGAAGAATAATAATTAAAGTAAGTAACTATAGCGTAAACGATTAAAGAAACGATTATCTAAATCTCTTAATAACGATAATGATGACCTTCTAGAAATACTAATAGATAAGGGTATATAGGGATAGTTAGGGCGAATTTAGAAGTAACCTAGGTTACCTAATAGATTTTAGATTAATTTAAGGTAGTTAATATTATATAGAGATAATAAAATTATGTTTACTAAATTAAAATATCGAAAATTAATGATTACACTATAATTATATGAAAAATATGTAGGAAACCGCATAATTTATATATGCTTAAAGGAGTTATAAGGCTAGGCATGTTTAGCCTATTTAATATCTACTAGATATCCTTGAATATCTAGAGGATATTAGGTGGTATACTATATCTATAAAATTAAGGATTGTGGATATTAGGTGATATACTATATCCATAGTTTGCGGAGAGGATATGTGGATATCTATGGATATTGAGGATATTACCACAGTCTATACTAGGGTAAGCGGGAGCACGCACTACGGCCCAATGAGCGTGCGTATAATTCTACTAGACCCCCCAGTGGAATTGACAATACAGTATAGGGCAAACGCCAAAGCAGCATAATCGAGCTATGACCTAGACCCGCCGAAAATGAAACTCATAATATAATCGTCATAGATCCAGTGGATAACTTAATGCGGATAAACGCCTTCAAAAGCCGACAAATTCGCGAATCAGATAAACCTTATTTCTTTTCTGCCGCAGCGGGCCTGAACGTCCGAACTCTAGTAATGATCATGCGATCTTCTCGTTCCACGGTCGGTAGTGTTAGCGAATTTTCTTCTAGTATACCTCATAAATGTCATAAGGCTGGTTTCTTTTCTTCTTTCATCCCTAGTTCAGTCCTCAGAACAACGATATATTTCCAAAAGATTTTTCATCATAATGACCACAATTCCTATTGGTTTTCGTGTTGCCCAAGCTGTCGGCTTCACGGGTGCTGCTTGGCTATCTGGTAAGCGCCCTTTCATAAGAGGTCATTGCCTTCTCACTAACTTCGCTGTTCTGAATAGGTAACATCGCCGCTTTAAGCATGAATGCTGCACCTGCAGTCTTGCGTGCCCGGGTCGAAGACAATTTGCCAGTCAAAAATACGGTGAAGCTTTGGAGAAATCTCTATGAATCCGGCAAAGCCCAGAACCCTCCTGTTGCAGCTCTCACCGCCTCGGCCTTCTTCTACCTTGCGTGGTCCAACCGCTCTAGTTCGACACTAATTCGCCAAGTTGCGCGCAACAGCCCTGCATTGTACGGCACGGCAGCAATTCTGACCTTGAGCATCGTACCCTTCACTTTCGTTGCGATGAGTAGCACTAACAATGCACTCTTGGCCAAGACAGAGTTAGACTCTGAACCATCCGCTCAAACAAGCGCGGAGATTGATGATCTTGTGAAAAAGTGGATCTCGCTCAATGGCATTCGGAGCCTCCTACCTTTAGCAGCTGGTGTCTTTGGCATATTCGCCGCCCTCGCGTAAAATTCGGGAAAGCGCTCTGCAGTCAAGAGGCTCGGTGTATCAATAAAACCTCAACTAATATTGGTGAATTCCTTTTTGTATCAGCCGTTTACTGTTTCTATAATAAGATAATCCCCCCACTTGGAACTATTCGTAGGTACTCAGAACGGTTGAGTGACCTTAGGGCTCTACGTGAAAGAACCACGGCCTTTTAATAAGTACTTTTTTGGAGTTCCATAAGATAAAGTAGAGGACACCAGGTGAACGGTGAAAAGATCTATCGTGATGTCTCGTTTCGGTATTTTTTTAAATCCTCAGTTCGTCTATTCCCCTCAATCCTTCCATCAACTCCTTTAAATTAGTAGGTCTATATATAGGTGATTTTGCATCCTTACCGACCTTATACTCTATGGCTAACGGCAATGAGCCCCTGACTGCGGTTCTTCGCGCTCTAAGTGGTCCGTGGTGCGTGGTTCCGCCCCCGGGCCGCCGTGGCGGGATCGGGGTAACCCTAATCAACACCAAACGATCCCCGAACACCACCCGATAGAGGGATCTTTAGATCCGCTCTCGATAAGGAGAGGAGGAGGAAAGAATCCCGTGGGATGAAAGTGATTATGCGGACGGAACTAAACACGACGCTTTATTTTATTATTTTTATTTTACTTTTTTTTTCCCCCCCTAGTAGTCTCGAATTCACCTACGTTCTATAAGGTAGACATCGCCAAAACCCACAAAGCCTAAAGCCTAACCCGACCTAACCTATAGGGGTAAATCCATTAGACACTAATGGATTTAGGGTGAGCGGCTCTAGTATAGGGAAATAAAAGTGGGTTAGGGTCTAATAGATTTAAGCTTCATAACACCGATAGATTTACATTCCGCCCTCTAGGGTAGCTTATATATTTATATATTTAGCAACACCCTCTGTTTTATGCCCAGAGTAAATTTTAAAGCATTCCCACCATTAAAAAAGGTGTTTTTAGGGGTTCAAAGTTGACCAGTTTTTTTAATGGGGTGCCAACTGTTACGGACCTACAGGGGGCCGCACCACCCGCGGGGCACTTATACCTAATCATCCTGGATGAACGGGACGACGTGTAGGTCACGTGTAAGGCATGGTTCGAAGAACCGTAGCCTCTCCATAACAGGATGCACGATACGTGATAACCGAAGGTCATTACGATTCGGTGCCATCCTGGGAAATGGACGATCGCACGATAAGTAAGATCGTAGGATAAGGAGTATCCTGCGATACGCCATGGTTATCGGTAACGGGAAAGATCCTACGACGGGTTCCGCCCTATGACTAAGGATGCCCTACGATAAGCCACGGTTTAGAACCAAAGGGGGGATTCTTAGGACACGAGGTATCCTAGGATCAACAACACCCTACGACGGACCATAGTTACTAATAACCATAAATATCCTACGACATAGAGAATCCTGCGGAGCTTAGGACCCTAGGAAAATAAGGATCCTAGGAAAGGATCACGTGCTGACTTATCGAGTGATAAGTATAGCTCATTAAGCGATGAGACTGGAATAGATTAAGCGATAAGTCCCAGACTCATTAAGCGATGCGACGGATTAGATATATAAAGATAGTCATTACTATAGATATATTTAGTTCTTCGCGTTTAATCATACATTGTTACTTAGAACCTATATGTTACGCGGTGCTAACTGGTCACAGTGAGTATCGCTCGTATGGTTCCTTATACGTACCGAGAGGCTCGTCCTCAAGTCTCACACGCAATCGTACCGTTGCCGCTGGGCCTTATACGGGCTCGGATCTATAGAGTAGACTCTTGTTGGGCAGTGCCAGATAGTAGCGCCTAGTCAAGCTATGCTTAGGATCTGTGTCAAGTGACAAGAGACTAAGTATACCTCTCCTAGTAGGGTGGGTTGTCTTAAATACGAAACAAGTTGTGAAGCTAGGGTTGTAGGTCCTAAGTAATAATATATAATTAAACGCGAAGAACTAAATACATCTATGGTAATGACCGTTCCTTATATATCTAATCCATCGCATCGCTGATGAGTCCAGGACTTATCACTGATCTGTTCCAGCCTCATCGCTGATGAGCTGCACTTATCGCCCGATGAGTCGGCACGTGATCCTTCCCTAGGATCCTTATCTTCCTGGGATACTAAGCTTCTTAGGATCCTTCATATTGTAGGATACTTCATGGTTGTTAGTAACCATGGCCTGTCGTAGGGTGTTATCGATCCTGGGATACTCTATATCCTAGGAATCTCCCTTTTGGTTCTAAACTATGGCTTATCGTGGGATATCTCTAATTATAGGGCAGAGCCCGTCGTAGGATCTTCCCTATTGGCGATAATTATGGCCTATCGCAGGATACTCCTTATCCTGCGATCGTGCTTATCGTGCGATCGTTCTTTTCCTAGGATGGTACCGAATCGTAGTGTCCTTCGGTTATCATGTATCGTGTATCTTATTATGAAGAGGCTATAGTTCTCCGAACCATGCCTTACACGTGATCTACACGTCGTCCCGTTTATCTAGGATGATTAGGTATAAGTGCCCCGCGGGTGGTGCGGCCCCCTATAGGTCCGTAACATCACCCCCTCCTTTCCTAGGTCTTTGTCCCTAAAGACTCCTGTGTCTTATAACCGCCCACTCCCCTCTCTTAGTAAGTGTTGGTTCTTATTTCCTTTCCTACCCTTTAGCCATAACTCCGTTATTATGCCTTTGTCTAAGTCTTCTATCTAGAAGAATCAACTAAGTGATCGCATTTCTGTAGAAGGTTATTAATCCGTTATTCCTTGCGATCGTTGTGTTCGCCTTAAAAGAGTGTGTGTTCGTTCTGACTTCTTGGATCGCTGTGGTTCTTGTGTGAAGGGTGGTGGTGGTGTAAAGTGCACCATGTCTCGTCCTTTATATTCCGATGCTGAGTGGCGTCGCCTCCTTAGCGCTCGTTCTTTATTGGCCGATGAGAAGCGTGTAGCTTTATCTAAACTACTTCGTCTTGAGGCCTAAGAGCAACTATTACTGAAGCGTTTAGGTGATTTCATTGCTAGGGATTTCAAGGAAATCGCTAAATTAGAAGAGCTCGAACGTCGCGAAAAGGAAGAATTAGATCGTCTCAAGAAAGAGCGTGTTGAGGCCGATCGTGTAAAAGACTGTGGAAAGAAGGCTACTCTAACCGCTGATGAGCATTCTGGCCTTTCTTTCGTCGAGGACACGTATGTCCTTATAGCCACGTTAGAGGACTCTAGTTGGACGTAGACGACTGCGTCTAACCCCTTACTTTTAGTGGACTGGTTAAGCGTTGATTTTAACGCTTTCTTAGCTACCGTCCCCTAGGGGTCTTTTTCGCCCCGTTGTAATACTGTTGAACTAGCTGGTGGCAGCCCCTTAGGTTCTTGATGGGTTCCCATGTATTTTCTGAGGTAGGGTACCCCTGCTATTTGACCAAAAGCTGTTGCTGACTGTTATGCCATCTATCCACTAGGATTTCTTCCACTTTATATTCTTCTTCGCTAGCGTCTTCGATTTCTATATTGGTAGCGGTTTCTATATTGTCTAGCGCTTTCTCTAATAATGATATATAAAATACTGGGTGAATTCTATCTATGCTTTGCGGTAGCTTTAGCTTATAGTTCACTGGTCTAGTTTTCTCCTTAATCGTAAATGGTCCTAGTTATTTATAGTCTAGCTTGTCGCTAGGTCGTTTTGTTTTTATGTTCTAACGGAGGAGGTACACTTTCTCCCCCTTTGTAGTTCTAGGCCCTCCTGGTGAGTCTTGTCGTAGTATTTTTTCATGCGTAGGTTAAAGAACTTAATGTCCTGTGATATTTGGAGGTGTAACTGCTTAATTCCTGTGGCTAGGATTCATGATGTTTCTGCCACTGCGTGGTTACTAATTAGCTCTCCGATGATCGTGGGATTAAACCTATAATTAGCGAAGAATGGTGATTCCTTAGTTATCGCATACATCGCGTTATTGTACGCGAATTACGCGATTGATAGTAACTCTAACTAGTTATCCTGCTAGTAATTGATATAGTGTCGTAGATATTACTCTATAGTCTGATTTGTTCGCTTTGTTTGCCCGTTGGTTTATAGATGGTAAGCGGTAGAGAGTCTATACTTAATGCCGATTTGGTCCGCGAATGAACGCTATATATTAGAAGTGAATAACTTATCTCGATTAGACGTGATCTTTCTGGGTGATCCATGATTGGCGAAGACATTTCTTACTAAGATCGCGGCTATCTATTTTGCGTTAATCTTTTCCATAGTTAGGATTATATATACGTACTTAGTTAGCTTATCTATGATAACCATAATTATGTCGTTTCCTTCTGATTTTGGTAGTTTCGTGATAAAGTCTATTGTGATCTATTCCTATGGTTTCCTGGGTACTTCCGAGTTTTGTATTTCCCTGTATGGTAGATGTCTTGTCGGTTTATCTCGTAGATATATGTCGCATTTACTAATATATCTTCGCATCTTCTTATGTATATTTAGGATATAGAAGTGGCGAGTGATTAGTTCCACTATCTTCTCGATTCCTAAGTATCCTCTAGTAGGTTCATCGTGATATTTCTGGATGATCTCTTCCTATATTAGTCTAGGAACGTAGATTAATCTATGTATTAGTAGTATTCCGTCGTCTAGGGTTACTTAGCGATTTTCATAGTTAAGTATCTAATCTAAAGCTTCGTCTTTAGTAGTTACTTCCTTGATTCGTTATAGCTAAGTGTCGTCCTATAATTCGCTAGTCGCGGTAAGGGTTTAGTGATTATATACTAGGTTCCCTTTCTCGTCTTTAGTTAATATAGCTAGTACCGCTTCTTTAACTCCGATCTAGTAATCTAGTCTTCTACTGAGTGCGTCTACTTAGCCATTACTAGTACTACTACAGTGTTCAATCCTATAATCGAATTGTGATAGTGTTTTAGCCCAGCGCACTTATCTTCTCGTGAGTTCCTTTATTGTGGTGAAGTAAGTTAGGTTCTTATAGTCCGATTTAACTAAAACCTGATGC